ATAATTAGTTACAGAGTTTTTGTTGCCCATTCCTGTGCAAACACAAATTTAACTGGCTTCCTTCTTTTGCTTCCTATTTCTAATTAGCCAACGCAATAATGCCTTCCCTTTAGAAAATGAGCACTGAACAGTGTTTACTGGAAAGGTTGGTCCTCCTTCCTGTCCCCAGTGCAGCTAATTAACCTCTTCTTGTCTTGGCCAAGGGTAGAACATATCTCACACTCATATTCTGTTGTCCAGAATCCTGTTAGGAAAGTTGAATTGATACTATAAAGTATCAAGTGTTTAGTGCATCTAGCCATCATGTAAGCTGACTGAATGCCTTTCATCTATACTGATAATGAGGTCATTTGCATCTGAGGCAAACAGAAGCAGGACAGAGAAGAATAGCAAGAAAGACAGGGTTTCTTTTGAAAGAAAGTCATCCTGACAATATCACATGTGATTGTTTGTTATACTTGTGTTATTCTCTTGACATAGCATAGTTTTTCATAACTGCTCAATCCCTTAAAGTATAATTTTAAAGGGTCTGTGCAAGCATTCTCCATTTCCCATTCACAATAGTGAATACAGGAGGTAATTCTGGCCATGATTTGCCTGCACACTTAGCTTTACACACATATATACCTACAAAGACAGTAGAACCACTCCCAAAGGCCAACTCAATCCTCATTGAAAAATGAGAAAATTCCTTCACCCCTACTGACATTGTGCTCTATATGTGAAAAAGTAAACTTATGCTTAGCATTTCTTCAAACTTCAATGGCCAAAAAAATCCCTTTACCTAAATTAAGAATTTAAGAGTAACATTATAGATATCCCTGTAAATATCAGGAATTCCATTCAGCAAACCAGCTACCCAAGATTTTTTCCACAGGTCTTTGGTTCTTAATACTTAAGCATTATCTAACAATGCCAAAAGAGAACCTTTCATTCTGATAATGCAAACAGAGAGAATTCGTGGTTTAAGGGCTTTTCTGAGACTTAGAATACCAGAATTCAGAGCTAAGCTCTGCTAATGGCTTTTCTTGTGAACCAGCTCTTCTGACTCCATTGAAACTATTTGTGTGTCTAATTGGAGCTATCCTTATGGCTCAACCACCTCTTTTATGGTCCATACAGATACACTAGGCAATAGTAGACAGCACCCACAGGTGCAACAACAATGGGGATAAGCACCTAGAGGCATTATGAGCTAGTTTTACCTTTCAGAATTTTTCATCTCTACATGAAGACATTTCAGACATGTCAAATATGAACAACATTTAAAAGAGATAGCATCTTGACTGAGAACCACTGGAAATTTGAATGGTTGATGAGCCTAGTGCTGTATTTTATTTTTCACTGTATACCAAAAAATCTACAGTGACAATCATCCTGTTGGAAAGCTTGACCACCCTTAGTGTTTCCAAAACCACTTTCTACAGCACAGCAAGCACTATCCCTGGCTCAGTTTAAGCCTTTTATCTTTTATCACAAGGTAGGGCACCAAGCCACTGTTGCTTAGCTGATGATCTTCTAAAAGCCGCAGATTGTCTTCTTTAGAACTTCAACTTTTCTAGCATTTTTCATTTGCATATATGTAGTTTATCATAGTCATGTGTGGGAATTTTCACCTTCTATGACTGATTTACATTGTGTCTGATTCATCCTATTGCTCCAATCAATCAGCATTTCACATTCTAATCTCACAAGTGCTTGTCCTGCCCTTGTTTTTTGGGGTTTTGTTTGTTTTGTCTGAAAATTTAATAAGGGCGTTCTCTATTCTGCTGTCCAAACCCTTAATGAAAGCAACAAATAACACCTTGAGAAACTTTGCTTTGCCTCTCTTTTCAGTTTGTGGACAGCAGATAGCTACTTCAATATGGATTTTCAGCCTCTTGCTTACATATTCTACACAAGTTCCCTAACCTCTCTGTAGCTCAGTTATGAAAATGCTGGACAAGAGAATCAAATTCTATTCAAAGTCAAGTTATGTGTGCAGTTTGCTTCCTTCTCCACAAAGCATGTCCCTCATTTTGTAAGAAGTTAGGTGGTTTGAAGTTCATGAATTCTAAACAGCAGAAAGACCTTATAAAATTAAATTAAGTTTTTCTAAGGCCTTGGAAATGGCCACTTGTTATAACTGAGAGAAAACTCTTGAAAATACTACCAGATATGTAAACCAAAGAATTATGTGTCCTCCTTACCTTATCTGAGTTAGATGAAGTCATCTGATCTAGATACTTAAAAGAGAACTTCAGCATGGGGACAAACTTTGATGGCTAATCTCAGCAGTTGCCATGAGTGCACCATCGATTTGGAGCTACTAAGCAAAATTTTATCAACAGACAAATGTTGTAGGTGCCTTTGTAATTTAAAAAGTATAGGTATAGACAGTAACAGTTCTACAGTCTTTTCATCACACATTTGATTATGTCTCTTTCCTAATAATCATTGAACTTTAAAATTTGAAGGCACATTGACATATCTAGAGCCATATTTTGCAATAAACTTAGAAGAAACCACCAAGTACAATCACACACTTTAAGATTCACTAGTAACAAAAATATCCTGCCCGTGGACCATTTGTTTTATTGGCAACAATGCTTGGAATTGCTGAAGTTAGTTTGAGTTGTCTTCTTCTGTCCATTGCAATTTGAAACTTTTGACTGCTCCTTTCTTTGTCCACAATGTTTTCACAGTTTATTTCTGAAACAGTCATCACTCAAAGCCAGAAGTCAGAGAGCTGGCTTCACTTTCTGTACCTTAACTGCTCAGTTTTGTACATCACCCTAAATGAGTTCTGCCAGAGCTTCTTACACATCCATTTTTCCCTGAGTGTGTGCAACTGCTCCCTCTTTGTGCATGATTCAAGCAGTCTCTGAGGCTGCCATTGCCCATTTTTCTTTATCCCAAATTGTGTAAACTCAAGTTTTATTTCTTTAGAGGTCATGGAACTGCTCGTCACCTACATCAATCAGTATTATAGGCAGAGAAATACAGTCTGCATTGTACTGTGGATACAATTTTTTGTCATTACCTGTCCCTGCAAAGAACTGCATATGAAAAGATGAAAGCAGAGATTCTGTGCAGGGTCAGACCATGGAAATATGGATGAAGTTTTGAAAAGTCTTGTTATTAGCCTTGAATAAAAAGGATGAAATTTTAAAAAAATATTCAGTTTTGCGCTTCTATCACGTACAAGGCTAAAAACCTGCCTCCTCAGTTTTGAAAGAGTATGAAACGTGAGAAAAGTTTTTCTATTGAAAGACTCCTCAAAGTAGATTTTTAGAAGTCTGAAATTGTTAGACTTTTCTGCCTAGTAACTGTTCCTTTTCTGCTGAGTAACTGTGTGTTGCTCACACAGAGAACACTTTGTGTGCCCTATCATACTCACTGTGAGGTGCAAACACTTTGTGACATGCTGCATTTGGATGACCACTTTAATTACTCATTTTAATAACAGACAGGCCGCTACAGTGAATAATAATAAACACCTTCCCATCTGCTGGATTTTAAAGACAAGGCATGTTGTTCCCTCTCAATATCAACTCTACACACCTGCTAATCTCTCCGTTTTTCTTCTTGTCTTCCGTCAAGCTAAAGAACACAGTAATTCTGTCACTAAATAGACAAGATAGGAGCGATAAGGACAGAACAACACTGCTGACAGTGGTGGTAAGAGAGAACCTATCAAAACATCAACAAGGGATGTGAGGTAAAAGAAGGCTCTAGAAATTCCTACTTGGTTCAAAGCCAACATGGTCATTTTGATTCTTTCTTCTGTCTGGTTTAATATTCAGTTGCACTTCAGCTGGATGTGAGTAATATCCCTCATTATACCAAACTTTCCAGGTACATACAACAAAATAACTTTGTCTCCAAAGGAGGTAGCTCCCTGCAGTTGCTGTCTATGTTTTTGGCAGGAATTCACTGACCTTGACTGTAACCACCTAGTAGCAAATTGATCACTGCCATAGAATTATTAATTCTTTTAAATTCATGTATTGTGGAAGTCTTATGGACTGTCAGGAAGGGATCTAAGTAAATCCATCAAGTTAAACGAGCACTGTTTACTTTGTCTATACTATAAAAATTAAGAGGACTACATATTTAAGAAAAATTGTCTCAAAAGGCCCAAAGTCCAATAATTCATGCATTAGTCAGACCAAGCAGAAGAAAGCCCATTTTAACTTTCACATATTAAAATAGGATGCAAAGTTACAATAAGAAAAAGTAATCATCTCAGTCCTTAACTCAAATCCAATAGTATGCACAAAAAAAGTAAATTAAAAATATTAAAGATTCAGATTTAAGTACAATTGTTTGTAAACCTAGAATTGTGGCTGTTATGAAGAAATGGTCTAGAGTTAGATACATGTAGAAGGATGCTTTTCTCAAAAGGTATGGGACTTAATATGATATTGATTTTTTTGGGAACAACTTTCTCTTTCTGAGAAGATTTGTGAGCTCAGTTCTAGTGTTGTATAACAAGAATTCTGTGTCTATTCAAGCCTTTAGCTAAAGAACTATTGAGCAATAAATCAGATGTCAATCCTGATGTACAATATTGATGATTTAGATCTTCCTTCCTTCTTCCTTCAATCCACACAGGTTGTTTTTTCATAGGGTGTGGGGTTTGGGGTTTCTTTATTTCATTGGTTGTTGGGGTTTTTTATTATCCTTGCCCCATCTTCCTAAGCAAAGTAAATGACAAAAATATTTCATACAAATCCTGCAACTTAAATATTGTGCTTATGGAGTGAAGCAAAAAATCACATGAAGTGTTAATGTTGTTTGGCAAGCACAGTTTTCACTGGGCTCAACAGGATATCGTGACAATGAAGCAGTGGCAACACGAATCAGAGTTTAAAAGAATGAGATAATTTTCTATACAAAAGATAGGACATGGAACCTTTCACCTCAGGAAATAAGATTTAGATTTTTGTCCAAACAAATCACAGCCTAATAGCACATCATCTGAAAGTACTTGGACTTTGAGAGTTTGGGTAGCAGAATTGGAAATCACAGACTCAAACTAGAGGAATTCAGGCACTGAAAGAAAACATTTTCTTCTTTTCACTTTTTTCTTTCTTAAGGAAAAAATAAATCATGTTTTTTCACAGGAAGATAGCTTGGGGAAGCTGGATCATCAAACAGTGCAGAGCAAATGAGCAGAGCAAAAAGGAATCCGCGAGGACTGGAAATGCCTGTCCGTAGCAGAGAGATGGAGCAGGTCTCTGTGAAAAAGCAAGATAGAGATTAGGTGGAATATTCCCTGTGGCTGTGACTTGTACAGCACTGGGGAAGCTGGGTCATGAGGAAAAAAGACCTCTTTGCTAATGTTTGTGTGAAGTTGTGCTTGTGGCTAAATTTGCTTCCCTCTTGCCTGCCTCTGACTCTGCCTGCATCTCCAACATGGAGCTATTTCCCAGCCTAAACTACTGCTGCAGGGCGTGCATTTTTTGAGGCAATGAAATCACATCTTTGTCTCTGTATAAGAACCAAAAAGAGAAGTTATATGTGAAGCAAAAAATGAACTAATGAGAAGTTGAAAACTGAGCATCCAGTATTTAAAATAATCTCCTGAGCAGTTTTATTTAACATATTCCTCATACTGGAAGTGATTACTTTCTTCCTGTTTGTGGCCACAACCTTGTCAGTTTGGATGAAGTAAGTACTCGCTTTTTCCTCTATCCCTTTACTACAATTAGTATCTCACTACATGAGTTTTAAAACCAGACTAAAATATCTTCTTTTCTGCGTAGACTTTGCAGCTGCTGGCTAAGAATCAGACTTCTCAAACTTGCATCTTTTTTCTAATAATTTTTCTTATGAACACATTCTTAATGAATTTCAGATTTCAAGATATTAGGTGGATGGGGGGTTGAAGTAGGCATCAACATTTGTGGGTTTCCAGGACTATTATTACCTTACAGACACTTACAAGTTAAAAGAAGACTTGGGAATTTCTTCTCTACAGTCATGAATTTCTGCTGAGGTTTCAACATAGCAAATGAAAATAATTGGTTTACTAATGATAGAGAAGTTAAAACAGCCTTGTATTCTTCCACATAAATAATTTTTAGTGCAGAATTATAAATTCAGTAATAAAACTAACACAATATTTTGCATTTTTAACAGAATTTTAGTCACAAGCAGTATCAGGAAGACTCTAAGTGTCAATATTCTTTCACCTTTCAGCTTTAATGCAAAGCATAACTGACTGCTATGATGTACTAAGCAGCCCTAAGGAGGAGAGGGCCTAGGGCTATTGCTCCTTATTAGCATTTTTGTCAATGCCATCTGATGCGTTTCAATGAACTTCTAACCTCTTGCTGTCAAAGAGTTTGGATATATCTGCTCCTCTAACTTTTATGCAAATTCCTGATCAATGCTAGGAATAGATTACACAGGTAAGGGGAATCTAATTTCTAGTACTCTATTGCTATCTTTTCAATACTGTTTTACGTAAGAAAAGGTGAATTATAAGGCTGAATAAATAAAAAACCAAGAGACAGTCCATGTGATTATTTTTTCCCAAAAACTTATGTAATTAAAATCCTAAATAATATTTGGTATTATTTATTAGCTCTGCCAATCTAAATACAATACTTGCTTTTAACTACACTCAAGTCAGAATTCCTGTGTGAGCGAAGATTTAGGTACTTTTTATTAAACATTAGTAGCCCTATCAATGTATACAGATATGCATCAATTGTTAATGATAATTATATTCTTCTACAGCTACAGAAAAAAACTTACAAACAGGTTTTGATTCTCGTTATGGAAAAATTATCTTCACAAATCAGAGCTTCCTCTTACGTGATACATGCTCTTTTACTCATCCTGATGGCCCTTCCCTGGGCTGGCTCCAGTTTGCCCATGTTTCTTTTGTACTAGAAGGACCAGAACTTATCCCAGCACTCCAGGCAGGGTACAACCAGTGCTGCCTAGACAGCACTAATCACCTTCCTCAGCCTCCTGGGCACATTGTGATGCTGTGCCACGTACATCAGCCAGTAACAGGCAACTCTGCCAAATTAGTTTTTGATGCAGCAATTTTCACCTTCTCCTTGCATAAGCAATATTTCTATTTCTGCACTTCTACAGATAGAAATAAAGTATGTTAGGTCATAAAAAAATGGAATAGCTCAGACAAATCATTTTTTCCATCTCCCACTTTTCTCCTTTAGTCACCAATATTTTTTTAAGCAACTTCTCTGAGATTCCAAGTCTGTAGCTCTCTGCTGAGTGTACAATTTTAAGCACTCAGCTGTTCACAGTTTTTCGGCTCCATGATTATAAAAAGCATATTTAGCTTTGTGAGTCATGTGGAAAGGCTTATCAGCCAAGATGCTTTATTCTTGGGAAGGTGTCTCTAAAATTAAGATTTACCAAATTGCGAACTGAAGCTTCACTTCTATGTTGCTCTAGACATGGTAATGAAATGCTGATTAGACTTTCCTGGGATTTTGAAAGTCTGGCATGTGAGACCTCCAGATAATGTACCCAGTCACGCAGCTTCAAACTATTCATGAGTAATTCTATAAAATTCTGAAACTTTTAAGTTATTACCTGTTATTGTTATTTTACTTTAGCAAAACAGATTCTAGAGTATGAGTTAGCTATCGCACAAAGTTTAATCATGTTTTTCATTCTTTTTTTTTTTTTTTTCCTCATCTCTTTGCTTATTTGTTTGAGGGACTTCTTATGTTTTGGTAATAATTTCCTTGCAGCAGGATTTAAAACATCTCTCATAGCTTCATAATTTTAGTTTTGAATTAAAGGGTATACTGGAGAAGCCAGAAACAAAAATGCTCAGCAATTGAGATAAAATCATTCAAAAGAGTATTCTGTAGCCATAGTAACCTTTCTTCCACAAATTTGTGCAGGAAAAAACCTAATATACTATACAGTCATGAAAGTGCATCTAATTACGATTTATTCATGTTGCCAGTGATGAGCACTTACACATAAAATGCACTGTACTGATTGTATTTGGGCTTGTTTTTAGAGTGAGAGTCTTATCGACTAATCCTAATACATTAAATATTTTTTTCTAATACAAAGTTTATACCTGTATTAGAATACATAAAATAAATCATATCACATTTATCACAGTACATATCTGTATCCTTGTAATTATTTCCTTGTAAAATGCATAAATTTTTCAGCTTAATTGTTCAGTATTATCAAGTATTAATACAGATACTTTTACTTCTTGCATAATAAATACTGATACTTTTCCTGAGCTTGCTTCTTTCAGAGTTATTCACTTTCAGCAAGGGCTGTAGAGATAGATTTAGCCTTGATTTGAAACATGATCTTATAAAGACTTATCCATATTCTTAATATCATAGACAGATTTATTAAAAAGCTGCATAGGGCATAAATTAACAAAAGATAAGGTACTTTTCCTCCAGGAAAAAATGACAATATGTAGACAAGTCTTCAAATTAAATTCAACTTTTCAGAGAATTCAACATGTTCTGTTAAAAAGGTCATTTGGAAAGGACATTGCATACTGGCAAAACAGCATTGTTTAAATAGCATGAAGAAAGATGGTGCTGCTTAATATATTATTCAAAGCACACAAGTAGTATATTTCATGGCTAAAACTTTCTAACTCATTAATAATAATATGAATTATTATTTTTTAAATTATATTGTTTGTAGGACATCATCACAGCCTAGATAGACACAGTTTAGGACTGATCTTTTCTCATCCCATGTGAACTGAGAAGTTCCAATGAAAAAATATTACAATCTCATAAGAATCAATTATATCTTTTTGAGACAAAGTTTTTCTGAACTTATCAATTGCCAGATTTTTACATTTGCCTTCCGTGTCGATTTAAGAGAAAAGCAATAAAGTTTCCTACAACATGTCCACAAACTCTACCAAAAAAGTCCAAAATTGTTACAGTCTTATATGGCTTTTAGAAGGAACAAAATGCTTTGAAAATAAAAATCAGGTAAATCTTTCAAAATGGATCTGTAATTTAAACCCTGTAGGAGTATAAAACATCAAAAATCTCCAAGCATCTCAGAAATACATTATCTTCTCCTAATATGCCTAACAGGTCCTTAGACCCATCAATTACATTTTGCACTTTAAAAAGTGCAACAGAGAGACTGTAGTGCCGTGACAATTTTCCTCCAAGAGATTAGTTAACCAGTGCTGTATCCAACTGGTTGTCCTTGGGAAAAGAAAAAAGCCTGGCCAGATTCTAGTGCCTGAGCAACTGGTAAGATCCAGGCTAGCCCCACACCAGAAAACAGAAGGACTGAATAAAAAAAAAGGCATAAGACAGATCTGTTGTGCTGTGAGCTTCAACCAATGACAACAATAAGAGCTTCTCTGCCATGAGCTTTGTGAAGGGTTGTGGATAATTCACCTGTTCTCTTTAAAGAGTGAAGGGAGAACTTGGAGAGGAAAAAACAGCAAATAAGCAAGAACAGCAAATGGGTCTGAAAACACAGATAGGATTCTGGAGAGAGGCAAAATGGCAACTTTGTGTATAGCTAAGGGAAGAAAGGAAAAACCCACCACTCTGCTAAGATGGAAGATGTGTTGTGCTGAATGGTGTGCCTCCAGAGAAGAGAACCTATGCATAACCAAAACTTTGATAAAAAATTTAAGAAACTCTGTAACACCAATGTAAGATTAAGAAGAAGGCATTCTTTATTCCTCCAGATGCACCAGGGGATATCTCCTCCAAAATATTGTGCCTTAAGAATTCCTGTTTATATATTGTTTTGAACATACATAATCATTGATTTTCCCAGAATAAACTTACATATAATTAATTTTTCTGAGATCATTGACATATTTTCCCTCCCCATTATGAGTGCATTTTTCTGTCTTGGGGGTCCCTTTGGTGGTCCCTAGTGGTCAGTCTCTCTGATGAAGTGAGTTCAAAGTGAGGCAAAACATGACAAAGAAAATCTAGTATCCCAGAAATTTTAACCAAGGAGTTAGGTCAGCAGTTGAAAGAGACTGGATCAACTTCAAAACTAATGATGAAAGCCAGACCATTCTGTGAATCAGGTCATTCAGTATGCTAGAAGACAATTCAGTGTGGGAAAAAAAAAATAAATAAGGTTTCAGAACACAGAAGTCATCCACCCTTGTGACAGGGATTGGAATAGCTGACGCAATCCAGATTGTGCCAGGTCATATCTATCTGCTTGCTACAGCAATGCATTGCTTTCTTCCATAAAAGGAGTCAGTGAAGGTAACACTTCCCAAAGTAAGCATAAAACTGATGACAGTAGGAATGAATGACACAAGGAGAGCAATTAATGCTCAGATCAACAAGAGCTGTAGCTCTTCAGTAGGATTGCAGTACCGTAGATGTTTGGAAACCTCAAGAATGACCTGAAAGCCTACAAAGTGAAAGCCTGCAAAGATATTGCAAAAGCATTTACACCTTCATCAGATTGAGAAACAACCCATTGTTAGACAACAAATGACAGCTAATACCTTTAAACTGCACATTTACGGTCGTTCTGCATGTGCTAAATGCCAAAACAGAGCCCCACAGGAGCAGCACTGGCTCCTAGTCTGATTGTGCACAGGTAGGATGCATGAGGCATAGAGGACTGAAGCACCTGCAGTAAGGTACAAGTAAGCCTTTGGTAATTGAAATGCAGCACTGATGGTCCTTTCTAAGAACTATTAGCTACAACCTTTAACAGGAATTTTCAAGTCTTTGGTCTATTGTCTTCGTGGGCCAGCTGTTCAAACCCAATTATTTGTCCATAGAACTTAGAGAATGGCAAAGAAATGCAGTAAATAGGTGAAGATTTCCAATTATTCAACACCTTCCAACTGTTCAGCTTTGTACTCTTTCTATTCTACACAAAAGTCTGTTTTCTATAAGACCATTTCATTCCAAGTCTTTGTATAGAAGAGGTTTTAAGTAAAAGTGCTTTAGATAGCTGCAGGAAACAAGTACACAGAGCTTTCAGAAGAGGTTCAGAGAAAGCACCAGATGATTTTTTCAGTCAGTAGCTCCTTATTCTAAAGTGTCTGACAAAAAAGCTCACTGTTTATATTGGCTAAATCAAAAGCACGTAAATTTGAACTACATTCTTTACAAAATTTTAATCTGGTGTAGAAATCCTTTAATAAAGGCAGCTTTGAATTTCAACAGAAAGTAACAGAAAACTTCTTGAAAATGAATGATACAAAACACTACAACGTCTTTGAAATAATTGGATACTGTTTATTAGAAACAAAGATTTTTGCATTGGGTCTATTTGAAGAATCAAGGTGCAGTCAAATGAAGTGTTAAATAAGAAATCAACAAAGCAGTTTTGGAACTGTTATTTTGATACAATTAAATTAGGGTGTTTTATGAAGTGCTCTTGATTTAGGAAGATTCTGAGATGATACTTTTTTTCCAAAATTAAAATTTGCCTGATACCAGCATTTTTATATTTCATGTTATACTGCACACAATTATTCTAGCAGGACTTGAATGAAGCTATAAACAGGAAGAATATTGCTACACAATGCAACTGCTACCAACAGTGTCAGTGTGCCCTACAGGATGACTATACCGTTAGTAAAATGGTTTTTAAAAGGCACACATTTTCAAAAAAATTTATTTAAACTATTTTTTCCTAGAATGCTTTCAGAAATCATATTTTGTTGGTTTTTTTCCATGAGAAGTTTAAAACACTTTTATTTGCTCTCTAGAAAGGGACAGACAGCAAGAGCAGCTTCCTGAGAAGTAACCATTCTGTCCTTCACTGAGCTCTGGCTGTAAATGCCACTAGAATTACTCCAGGCTCTCTCAGTAACCACATTACACATTTAATTACACATTACAAGGTACTTGGAGCTTCAGAGTAAGAGTGTTAGACCATAAATATCATCTTTGAATATGATAAAGAAAAATATCTTATTTGAATATCATCTTCTGTGCCAAAGGGGATAAAGCAGGTGGTATGTAAAAAATTTGAAAGTAAAATTAGAATAATCAGAGACGGTACTGACAGCTTTCTTTCACAGCACTTAAGTGCTGTGTCTAGTGAGAGAAGATTCCCCTGTCTGGCTTTTTTTGCAGTTTTTGAATTTCTGTTATATTATCATAAATAGTATCCATTTTATGAAATCTGCTCTTCATCTCTTTTCTGGAGCAGTGACTGCAAAATCAGGCACTTATAACATCCATGTTGAAACAGAGGTAGGATGATAGCTTGCTTTTCATCTGCCTGAATAGCATTACATTCTGTGTCCTCATATTTAAGGGTTATCACTGTCCCTTGATGAGTTGTTTGAACCAGAGGCTGAGTGCATGCTTTCTGAGCACAAATAGAATTAAGGTGTTCTGCCTGACACACTGAGTCTTACTGCACTGTTGAAGTCACCAGTCAAAAATAAATTACTAGAAATAAGGAGACTAGTAAGAAAACAAAAATTTGTCCTGTTCTAAAATAAAAATGAAACTATTTAAAACTCAAGGAAAAAAAATATATCATGATAGCAAATAAGACACTGATTCTCTAATCAGATCTAATTCAAGATCACATTCCAGTTTGGCCATGGCACAAGTCTTCTGTGATTTGGATTCAAAGAACTACTGGTCTGAACATCTCTTGTCCTTGCTCCATCCTGATTTGCAAATTGAAATACATGATTATTCTTCAGCAATTCTGCTTTATACACTTAAAAATCCCCATTTTTCTCTTCCATTTTACTGTATGCCAGTGACAACACTTATTTTCATTTCATATCAGAGCAAAAATTCTGTTTGTCCAGCTAGTGTTAAAAAGATTTTAACACCTAATACTTGTTAGAATATCCCAAATAATACATTGCAAACAGTGAAATAAAAAAGTCAAGCTAGTTATTTTACTCCATAGCAGTACTGAGACTTTCACTAAGCGCTTTTTATTAACTTTTTTCTGCATTTACATAAAAATTGGGTTTTCCCTTCTGTTTCCTGATAAATGATAAATGAGGCCTTTGATGTACCAGTATGTACATACCTAATATTGTCATTCCAAGAGGATTTGATTAGAGAAACAGAAATCCCTTTGTACTTGTGCCAGATGTTACAATGCATCAAAGCATTCTGATGCTATAAAACATATACATTACTATGTCAGGTTCTACCATCTTTCCCTACAGCAACACCAGCTCTCTACTGATGGCAAATGAGTACAGCTGAGAGAAAACTGAGGAGACAGTTTATCTCAGGAGGCAGACAGCACATGCATGTTTACCCATATGATGAGCTCTCTCTGTAGCAAAGCTTGAATTTTTGCTTTTTCAGAAGTGTTCAACTTCCTAAAATATAGACTCTGGCCAAACTGACAACAATCACTTTGTAACCTTGTGTTTGTCTTTCACACAAAGGAATGCAAGTTTCCCTCTCTCATTTTTGTTTTTTGTTTTGTTATAACTACAAAACTATTTTAAGTCAGTGCCTGAAGATTCGTGTAAAGGCATATGCTGTATTCCTCACATGTCTAACTGACAGCTACAGCTACTTTAAAGTTTGAGATTTTAACATATGTTACATCCAAATATTTCAACGTAATCCTAAAGTCCTAAAAGCATATATTGTTAAATCAATTTTGGCACTCAGATATCATGATCACTATTAGAGTTTAAAGGACAGTCTTTACAGGTAGACTAGGGACATTTCAGAAATTTAGAAAAAAACCCAGAAATTCAAGACTAAAAGCTTAATTTGGGGTTGGCAATTATTAAATATGTCTGAATATACATAGTGAATATAGGATACTATTCAAAGATCCTAAAGTAGCAACCCATGATGACATGAACTATGGCATGAATTGAAACATGATGACAAGAACTGTTGCTTATTATTTTCCTAAGCCCTAATTGTGCACCTTGATCCACAGGACAACCTATTGCACCAGGACAGATCATAGCTCAAGAGCTCCAACTAGAACATCAACCCCAAGGCCTGCCTGATGCAGTGTTTGTACAACACTTAGCATGAAGAGTCCATTGAGCTGGGAAAAATCAGCAGAAGTTATTGCCAAGGACGGACTTGATAATCAGATCTTGAAAAAGAAAAAAAAACCCTAGAAGTTTGTGCTTGTGCTGGAGTAATTCCAGTTACAGGTGAGGACTCTGTTGTGCAGAGTTAAACTGTTATTACATAATTCTTATCACTTACAAATGTAATTGAATGCATGTATGCATTACATGTATGCACACATATATGTGTGCAGTATGAATGTAATTCATATTACATATAAATGTGAAAAGTTAGAGTTCATAGCCCTGAGAGTGTGATCCAGATACAAGCCTTCCTACTGCATGAAACAGTCAGTCCCTATAACATCTTTGGTTTTAGTCATTTGAAGAGGCTGAAGTAATATGGGATCAATTTTCAGGCACTATCTGGAATTATCCTCTGGATAAGAGACATAAATTTACAAAATACAATTTTGATATCCTGTGTTTCCCTACTCTGCAATCAGTGAGTTAAATCTGTAATACTTACTTCATTTAAGAAAGGACCATAACAAAGGTTAGTCTGCAGAACATAGATATAATTTTTAAAGACTTCAAGGAGTTAAAAAAAGAAAAGTCTATTCTTATAGAGCTTTAATGATAACTTCCCTCCAGGCAGTAATTCCCTAAAGACAGTTCTTTTCAACCATACATCTCTGGGCGTAATCTCCCTGATAAGAGCAATTCCTGAAGGGCATCATATCAAATGTTGGCTGGAAATTCAGAGAGATGGGGGTCATGCCACTATTTTAGATTACGAAAAAAGAAGTCTTTTATCTTTTCAATAAAACATCAGGATTTTCTGGCTTATATAAAACCTTTCTGCATGTTTGCTGCTCCCACTTGAAGCAAAAGTTGCTTCCCTGCAGTTGCAGTTGCAGTTGCAGATTGTTAACTACTCTTTTCTTTGAAGTTGTCTTTTAAGCCCCTACTTGACTAAACCAAGAGATTGCTATGTCACCAATTAAAGTTGGTAGTCATTAGACAGCTGGCCTTACATGTGGAGTGTTTTCAATACCTTCTAGGACACCATCAATATCCCAGTCTGCTCCTTTGAGTACAAAACCCATGGGAGGACTGCAGCCCTTGTACACAGAATGGATCAGACATTTTTGCTTTGATAATTTACAAGCATAGCCAAGAAGTTTCATGGTTTTTGTCTTGTGACAAATCACAAAAATACAATGAAGTCCTTCAGTGCAGTGGCTCCCCAGAGGCAGCTCACAAAGTACAATATTGTTCAAGAAGGCTTTAACTTTTTTCTTAATGTACAAAAAAGCCTATAGTAGTTAAAATACATAATAGCACAAACAGAAATAATAAAATGAAATCACACTCCTAGATAAGACCTCCTGTGAACAAATAACATTGAGACTTAGCAAGATTCAATAAAAATAAGTTCTATACAGATGAGAGTTAACTCTCCATTGGAGTATCTAGTGGAGATAAGAGATAGTATCCCATCTTCTTAGGATAAAAGTCATACTTGCCTAATAAGAAATGTCCTAACCAGTGAGGAATGCAGGTGAGGAGTTCCCAGAAGGGAATTGATTCATTTCTCCTAAGGTTATCTCACCAAAATCAGAGTTACTTTGTGGTTTGGGGCAGCGAACAATGTTCCTGTCATTACTGCTGTGTACCAGGGGCTATTAACACATAGGATGGGATACAATGACTGAATCTCCATCCCAGCTGAAAAGAAGCCATACAACCTTGTTAAAATATGACTATATTTGAGGTAATATATGCTGTACCTCTGAGGAACACAGTCACATTACCTAGCCTGTACAGCTAGGTCAGGATCCAGTCAGATCAAGGCAGATTAAGCATTTCACATGTTGAACAAAACAGAGATGCTAAAAATATACATCAAAAGCTAAATGACATTAATAGTCAAATCTTATTAACACACAACTGAAAGTCTTTTTTGAGATAAAATATTGGGAGGAAAGGGTTGAAACCCAAAGATTCAGTGAGGGAGGAATTTGCTCAAGCTCAAAATGACCTTGCAGCAGGGAAGGCTGAGAATGTTGGTGTGGGGAAACTCCATTGATTATGCATAGTATTGCTCATCCTCTGCCTGTTTTGAGTAGAATTCCTGTGTAGAGGAACTCTCACAGACAGGTTTGAGCCTTCTGCTGGGAGAGAGAGAGAGATCATAAAAGCACAGCCTTGTGATGAGCTGCACATGATAAAGCCTTTTGGCTTACTGGGTCAGGTAGTGCCCTGCCTGCTGCCGCCCACTAGGATGACCTAAGCCTAACACAGCCTGTGTTCCTGTGTGTGTCTCTTCTCTAGGATGAATTAAGCCTAACACAGCCTGTGTTCCTGTGTGTGTGTCTCTTCTCTAGGATGAATTAAACCTAACACAGCCTGTGTCCTTGTGTCTTTGCCACCTGGTGTTGTTAGGGAGGTAATGAAATAAATCTACTCTGCATTTCAGCTGCTCTTTGGAGGTCTCCCTAGTTACCTGTATGCATTGATTCACCCAAATACCACTACAGCCTTGTATCATTTGATAGCCCAGATGGAGCACTGTAGTTAGCAAGTGTTATCATTGAGGTCAATTGTTCATGTATATAGGAAGAGCAGATTCATTCTAAAAGGATTAAAGCTGTCAACAGCTTCACAAGAGCATAAATGTTTAGCAGTTTCCCCTGTATCCTTGGAGAAAATTACTTCTCAATTGTCTCTTTTATAATATCCTAATATCTCCACATAAAATTCCTTGTTATTTGTGATTTGCCTTTAATATGAGGAAGACTTGCAATGTAGTAGACTCTAGAATGCTTTATTTCAATGCAAAGAGTTTGGCAGCAAAAGGAATTATTTACATATCTCTGTGTCACAGGTTGGAGCATCCTGTTGTCATCAGCACACAGTTATTTGTGCAGCACAAGCACATAGGTGGGACCACCTGATCATGCCAAGTTGTTGTGAAATATAGCCTTAGCCCCCGATGATGGAAGGGAGTGCATTTCCAGAAGCGTTGCTGATAATATCAAACTGAGAGGGAGCAGCCAATATGCTGGAGGGCAGGGCTACCACTCAGAGCCACCTGGGCAGATGAGAACATGGGCTGGCAGGAACCTCATGAAGCTCAATAAAGGCAAAATATTGCATCTGGAATATAATAGTCCCATGCAATGGTACGTCTTGGCTGAAATGACCTGGAGGAACTGGAGAACAAAAACTAAGCACGAGTCAGCACTGCGCCCTCACAGCCACAAAGACAATTGTATCCTGGGCTCTGAGAACAAATCAAGGGATTATTCTTTTCTCTCTGGCATTTATGAGACCAGGTCTCCAAAGATTTTAACATCAAGTGCATCAAATCCAAGAGCATGTGACGAGTGAGGAGAGCCTGAGGGGAGCTGTGTTTATTCATTCTTAAAAATAGGAAGGCTCAAGGGAGATCATATCTCTGTCTACAGCTACCTAGTGGGAAGGTATAGAGAGGATGGAGCCAAATTCTTCTCAGAGATACATTTTGGAAGGAGGAGAGGCAATAGACATGAGATGTGATATTCCAATCTGAATAAAGGAAATAGCTTTTGCTTCGTTGTGTGCTAGGTTATTTTACCAAAGGCATTGTCAAAGATGGTTGGACTAGGGGAACTCTGGAGACCTCAATGAATCTATGACTAATAACAAGCCACCCTTGTCCAAACACTGCTAAAGACATTGTTTTCACTTTACACAACAGTTTGAGACTTCAGCCAAGACCACAGCCTGACTGTCTGCTGAGCATAGAGTCCACACTAGAAACTCTTTGCTGTCTAAGAACTGCAATATCGTCCCACTAAAATCAAAGCCCATACAGGCATGACTACAACATATATCAGATTTCCAAACTCTCAGAACACTGAGAAATTGACTCACCTGTTATTTGCCTTTAGATCTCCTATTATCAAAATAATTAGAATTGAAGAAGAATTCTCGTACCACATCAAATAGTTAAACGCATTAGAAACCTGTTTCAAATTATTTCTGTTTTAGATTCAATTGCAATATCTTTTTTAATATCTTAACCTTTTAAAATATAGAAATCTGTGAACTGTAGAATATTATTATTTCATTTTAACAATATTCCACTCTCACTTTGATTGCATGGAAATATGCATTGATAATGATTCCATTTTAGGTGCCTTTAATTGGTAAAAATCAGTATCTCTCCCTCTGGGTGAAAAAAAATATTGAAGTAGCTGATACTGTTATTTCTGTCTCCCTTTAAAACAATACACAAACATATAAAATGGGAGAGAGAGAAAGCAGAAACATAAAAGATACATTTTCTCTTCCGCAAATTGTCGTCATCTCCATACTGCTGGAGAAACTTAGATCCATCACAACCTTTCCATGCTGGGCAAGCCAGACAAAGAAGTTCATCTACTGCCACACTGACTGCAATTGCAAATAGTATTGGAGTCACCTAGACTAGACCTCTCCACAAGCACCTTCTGCCTTCTCTTTTGCCTGTCCAAATACCAGGTTATGAACCTCTGCACTAATTCTCATTACAAAAAAATCTCACTGATTAAGGCCATGACTTTATCTGGGACAATCTGATTACCTACAGCCTGCCTGTAGATACCCAAAACTAATGAGGTAACAACTCCTCTCTTGTTTTGCAGTTTTTCTGCCTTGCTGACCCTGGTCATAGCTAATCCCTTAGTTACTCAGCCTTCTGCTGGGGTTTAGTGTCTCAGAGGGGCTATAGTTATACTCTATAGTTAGATATTTCTTCTGGTGAGGAATTTTGTAGCTCATGCCTCAAAGGTATTCATTCAGTAAGTTTTCCAGAACTTCTACTCTTTGAAGACAAGTTGCCAGTGGAAAGAAAAATATCTGTTAAGATTTGGTAGTGGGATTTGACAATATTGATCCAAGGTTCCTCACCTAAGAATTGGCTTCTGTCATTAGCCAGTGGGAGCAAGACAGTGTCAAGGTCTCCATGCTTTTGCACAAATAGGGCTCATGAAACAGATACTACTCAAAGCAGCAACAGTGCCACTGCTCTCAGCTTAACCAAGCACTGCACATGCCAGTTCAGCATCAGTTACCACCAGAAAAATCCCCTGACGTATGACTTCGAGCCAGTGTGAT